CGCGACAACCCCAAAGGTGGGGGGCCCCAAAACCCGGGGGGACCCCAAAAACCACAGGGGGGACCCCAAAAAAATGGGGGGACCCTAAAAATGGAGGGGAACCTAAAAACTGCAGGGGACCCTAAAAATGGGGGGGAACCCAAAAACTGCAGGGGACCCTAAAAATGGGGGGGAACCCAAAAACCACAGGGGGGCACCCCAAAAACTGCAGCAGGACCCCAATAACTGTGGGGTGACCCCAAAACTGGGGGAAGCCTGAGCTGGGGGTGCCTGAAATCTGGGGGACCCCAAAGTGGGGGGGACCCCAAAATCTGCAGGGACAGCTTTGGGGTGGCAGGGACAGCCCCCCCTGTTCTTTCTACCCGGGGATGGTTTGGGGGGACCCCAAAATCACATCGGGGATCACCCCAAAATTCAGGGATGGCCCCAAAACCCCAGAGGGACCCCAAAGCCCCAGAGGGACCCCAAAGCCCCAGAGGGACCCCAAAACCCCCAGGAGTTTGGGTTTAGGGGGGACTCGTGTTCAGGACAAACTTCCCCCCATTCTCTTTATTGGGGGGACCCCAAAGCACAGGGGGGACCCCAAAATCCCAAGAGGGGACAGAGGGAGAACCCCAAACTTTCCCTCAGGGACTCCTCAGAGCTTAGGGGGGACCCCGGTGAAGGAGGGGGAGCCTGGAACTGGGGGACCCCAAAAGCCCCAGAGGGACCCCAAAGCCCCAGAGGGACCCCAAAGCCCCAGAGGGACCCCAAAGCCCCAGAGGGACCCCAAAACCCCCAGGAGTTTGGGTTTAGGGGGGACTCGTGTTCAGGACAAACTTCCCCCCATTCTCTTTATTGGGGGGACCCCAAAGCACAGGGGGGACCCCAAAATCCCAAGAGGGGACAGAGGGAGAACCCCAAACTTTCCCTCAGGGACTCCTCAGAGCTTAGGGGGGACCCCGGTGAAGGAGGGGGAGCCTGGAACTGGGGGACCCCAATATCTGGGGGGACCCCGAGGTCCTGGGGTTCTTAGGATGCAGGGACACCCCAGTGTCTGGGGGGGTTTGGGGTTCCCAATGTCCCAAGGAGGATTTTTGGGGTCCCTGATGTCTTGGAAGGTTTTGGGGTGCAGGGACACCCCAGTGTCTGGGGGTTTTTGGGGTCCCCGATGTCCCGGGGGGTTTTGGGGTGCAGGGACCCCCAATGTCGGGGGGGGTTTTGGGGTGCAGGCACCCCCCAATGTCCTGGGGATTTTGGGGTCTCCAATGTCCTGGGGGTTTTGGGGTCCCCGATGTCCTGGGGGGTTTTTTTGGGGTGCAGGGACCCCCCAATGTCTGGGGTTTTTTTTTGGGGTTCCCAGTGTCCCAAGGGGGATTTTTGGGGTCCCTGATGCCCTGGGGGTTTTGGGGTCCCCGATGTCCTGGGGGGTTTTGGGGTCAGGGACCCCCCCATGTCCTGGGGGGTTTTTTGGGGTCCCCGATGCCCTGGGGGTTTTGGGGTCCCCAATGTCCCGGTGGGTTTGGGGTCCCCGATGCCCTGGGGGTTTTGGGGTCAGGGATCCCCCCATGTCCTGGGGGGATTTTTGGGGTCCCCGATGTCCTGGGGGTTTTGGGGTGCAGGGACCCCAGCTCCGGGCTCCCCGCAGGGATCGTGGATCTGTGTCCCAGTTTGGAGCGGGCCCTGCTCGTGTTCCCGGGGCACAAGTGCGGCAGCCTGCAGCTGGTGGTGAGGGGCGCTGGGCAAACTGGGCAAACTGGGCAAACTGGGCAGACTGGGGGCACTGGGCAAACTGGGGGCACTGGGGGCACTGGGGGCACTGGGCAAACTGGGCACACTGGGTACTGTGGATGATACTGGGGAGCACTGGGTGATAATGAGGAGGAGGCTGAGCTGATACTGGGAGCACTGGGTGATACTGGGCTGTACTGGGGGTGATACTGGGGAGCACTGGGGGGTACTGGGGAGCACTGGGGGTGTAGCTGATAGTACTGTGGGTGTATTGGGGAGCACTGGGTGATACTGGTCAGCACTGGGTGATACTGGGGAGCACTGGGGGATACTGGGGAGCATTGGGTGATACTGGGGAGGAGGCTGAGCTGATACTGGGAGCACTGGGGGGTACTGGGGAGCCCCCGTGGGTCCCTCACCCCATCCCCGTGCCCCCAGGACCTGAGCTCACTGTGGGTGTACTGGGCAGCACTGGGTGGCACTGGGCCATACTGGGCAGCACTGGGGGCACTGGGAGCACTGGGAGCACTGGGCAGCACTGGGCCATACTGGGCGGCACTGGGCCATACTGGGTAGCAATGGGCAGCACTGGGTGGCACTGGCCATACTGGGCAGTGCTGGCCCATACTGGGTGGCACTGGGCCATACTGGGTGGCACTGGGCAGCACTGGCCGTCACTGGGTGGCACTGGGGGCACTGGGCAGCACTGGTTGGCACTGGGCCATACTGGGCAGCACTGTGTGGCAGTGGGCAGCACTGGGTGGCACTGGGGCCATACCCACTGGGGCCATGCCCCAGGAGGCACTGGGTGGCACTGGGCAGCACTGGCCCATACTGGGCAGCACTGGGCAGCACTGGGTGGCATTGGTTGACACTGGGCAGCACTGGGGCCATACTGGGCAGCACTGGGGCCATACTGGGCAGCACTGGGTGGCACTGGCCCATACTGGGCCATACTGGGCAGCACTGGTCCATACTGGGCAGCACTGGCTGGCACTGGGCAGCTCTGGGCAGCACTGGGCGGCACTGGGTGGCACTGGGGCCATACTGGGCGGCACTGGGCGGCACTGGCCGTCACTGGTGTGTCCTGTCGCCGTCCCCAGGACCTGGGCTCGGCCAAGCCGGGCACGTCGTCGGCGCCGGTGACGATCAACGCGCACCAGAGCGAGGTGGGCTGTGCTGCCCTGAGCCCCCCGGGCAGCCTGGTGGCCTCGGCCTCGCGCCGCGGGACCCTCATCCGGGGCACACACGGGGGGTGGGCAGGGGGCCCGAGCCCCCCGAGCCCCCTGACACCCCCCGTGCCCCCCGTGCCAGGCTGGCGCGCGTGGGCAAGGTGGGCCCCGTGCTGGGCCCCTACGTGGAGTCCCAGTGGTCCCTGGCGAGCTTCACCATCCCGGCCGAGGCGCCCGGGGTGTGCGCCTTCGGCAGGGCCGGCCGCAGCCCCAGCTCTGTCATTGGTGAGAGACACCAAAATATCCTAAATCAACCTAAAATAACCCTAAAATAACCCCAAATAACCCCAGGGAGCCAGGGACCCCACATAACCCCAGGGACCCCAGGGACCCCCCTGCCCCCGGGGTGTGCGCCTTCGGCAGGGCCGGCCGCAGCCCCAGCTCCGTCATTGGTGAGAGATCCTGAAATATCCCAAAATAACCCCAAAACAGCCCCAAAATAACCCCAGGGACCCCAATCCCCCCGGGGTGTGCGCCTTCGGCAGGGCCGGCCGCAGCCCCAGCTCCGTCATTGGTGAGAGATCCTGAAATATCCCAAAATATCCCAAAATAACCCCAAAATAACCCCAAATAACCCCAGGGACCCCCCTGCCCCCGGGGTGTGCGCCTTCGGCAGGGCCGGCCGCAGCCCCAGCTCCGTCATCGGTGAGAGATCCTGAAATATCCCAAAATAACCCCAAAACAGCCCCAAAATAACCCCAGGGACCCCAATCCCCCCGGGGTGTGCGCCTTCGGCAGGGCCGGCCGCAGCCCCAGCTCCGTCATCGGTGAGACACCAAAATAACCCCAAAATATCCCAAAATAACCCCAAAATAACCCCAGAACAACCTCAGGGAGCCAGGGACCCCACATAACCCCAGGGACCCCAGGGACCCCCCTGCCCCCGGGGTGTGCGCCTTCGGCAGGGCCGGCCGCAGCCCCAGCTCTGTCATCGGTGAGACACCCCAAAATATCCTAAATCAACCCAAAATAACCCTGGGGATCCCCAAAGAAACACACTGGGACCCCAAAATAACCCTGAGGGATCCCAAAACAGACCCCCCAGGAACCCCCAAATAACCCCAAACCAACCTAAAATATTCTGGGGATCCCCAAATAACCGTCAGGGACCCCAAAATACCCCCAGGGAACCCAAAACAGCCCCCAGGGACCCCAAAATAACCCAAAACCAACCTAAAATACCCTGAGGGACCCCAAAATAACCCCCAGGAACCCCAAAATAACCCCCAGGAACCCCAAAACAGCCCCCAGGGACCCCAGATAACCCCAGGGACCCCAAAGCAGCCCCCAGGGACCCCAAAATAACCTCCAGGGACCCCAAAATAACCCCAAATCAACCTAAAATACCCTGGGGATCCCCAAATAACCCGCAGGGACCCCAGAATTATCCCTAGGGACCCCAAAATACCCCCAGGGAACCCAAAACAACCCCCAGGGACCCCAAAATAACCCAAAACCAACCTAAAATACCCTGAGGGACCCCAAAAGAACCCCCAGGGACCCCAAAAGAAACCCCAGGGACACCGAAAAAACCTCTAG